CATGCGTATTTTTATGCTCAAAAATTTTTTATGGTGTTAGATAGATCATGTGTATGGAGCAATATTTCATGTATAGATTTTCATCGTAATCCCATTTTATTTAATTTGATTGACTTTTAGGTCCTCTTATCCGTTAAGGCTGCCATTACTTACTTTCAAATTAAATTAAAGGGGGGGGGTGATAGATACACTTCATCAGCTCTAATCAAGGCCTACCACACCTAATCACAATTCAATGAAATAATAATGCAGCGATTGACATAAATGCGCTTGTACACTCCAGCGGGCTTTCACGAAAAATCGATATCGATCCTAAATTAATGGTTGAATAATAATAATGAAAAATCTAATCCAAATATTGGAATTATCAAGTAAAGTTTATAAAAAGAATATCTTATAAGCTGTCTTTTTGGCAATAAAAATATCTTGTCATGTAACTTGTTTTTTAAACAACTTTTTCGGGCCTCTCCCAATATAAAGCACCAGACTATATATATCAGTTTTTCAAAAACAAAAGAGATTATCTTTAAACATTAAACAATAAAATATAACAAATAAAACTTGTTATATTCAAATTTATATACGTTTGTTTGGTCTCCAAATATATACAAGCCATTAAGGATCATGCTTTAATTGAGCTTCCATCCTACGGATCGAGATTGTGTAACTAAGTGCTTCATAATATTGGCAGTACTAACAAAATGACTCAATTTGTGCGCGCGCGCACACAATTATTATCCTTAGAGAGTGTAATATTTGCAAATACCGTTTTTAATTATACAATTTGTTTTACTGTGGGTTTATTGGAATATTAAATCCATACTAGAAAAATAGCAGAGAATATAAATTAATCTTGAGCAAAATACAAGTCAATAAAGTAAAGTTTTTATTATTTGAAAGTTTGAAAGTAATCTCGGTCAGGCCTTTTGTAATTGAGTTTGTATGCCTTGACTTTGATTTGGAATTTGAGAAGTATAAAATAACGTGCGTGTTGATTCCCAAATGCCTAAGACTTGCAAATTTGATAAGTGTGAGATGTTAAACATACATGGGAAAACCTTATGCCTTTGCTTTCCTCTTCTTGCTTCATTGCTCCATATTGTGCTCAGCTTGGACTGAGGCAAACATCACTTCAGACAAATCTACACTTTTTGCCCTTAAATTCCACATCACTTCAGATCCATATGATTTCTTAGCTAATTGGTCAGTCTCTTCTTCCCCATGCAATTGGGTTGGTGTCATGTGCAATGCTTGTCATGGAAGGGTACGCTCATTGAATCTTGGAGACATGAATCTTGAATGCACCATATCTCCGCAATTAGAAAATCTCTCATTCCTTGTTGAACTCAATCTCAGTTACAACAATTTTTATGGTCAAATACCAGAAGAGTTAGCTTGATTGCATAGATTGAAACTACTAAACTTGAGCCACAATGACTTTCATGGGCAAGCTCTAGTATGGATAGGAGATTTATTCACTACAAAGAAACATCAAATTAGTGATGGAATTTAATGACGGAATTTCTGTCACTAATCAAAATTAACAACGGATTAGTGACGAATTAGTGACAGAATTCAATTAGCGACGGAATTAGCGATTGAATTTTTTCCGTCAGTAATTCCATCGTCACTAAATAATTAGTGACAGAATTCAAAATTTTGTCGCTAATTAGCGATGGATCATTGATGGATTAGCAATGAAAATTAGTGACAGAAATTTTCCATCATTAATTCGTTGCTAATTAGTGACGGATATCCCACAAAAATTTTGTCACAAAATAATGATGGATTTGTGACGGAATTGGTGATGAAAATTTCTGTCACTAATCCGTGGCTAAATTTTTTTATTTTGTGAACTTAAAATACCATATCATCACCATGTGTCCATTACTATGACCTGCCATGTCATTAATGGCTGTCACCTCACCAACTCCTCTCTCCCCCCCCATGTTGCCACGTTATCTCTTCATCCACATCATCACCACTTGGCTATCATTAGATGCCACCTCAACTCCTCCTCTCTCCCATGCAGCCACATCATCATATCATCCACGTCATCACCACATGTCCATCGTTATGAGCCGCCACATCATCACCTTGTTCACATCATCGTCATGTCACAAATTGAGCCAATTTGTGAAGAAGTGTTGGTTTGAACTTGAGACCTCCTACGCGTGTATTGAAATATTATTGTTTTCAACCACTTGTGTTTTTATTCTCCTTTTAGTCCAAAAATGCTTTTATTTTCATTGCGCCAAAAATTATGTTTTCAATCCATTTTCTAACAATGTTTTTATTTTCATTTACCTAGTTAGGATTTCAAATAAGGCTCCCTAAGTGAATCTATTTGAAGTTGTATCCTATAATATAATTCTTGGTAATTTGTGACCTTAACCTCCAAGGTATATAAGGAACGGGTTAAATCACCATCACATAATAAAAAAAAGAGGTTAAACAAGATTAACTTGATAACTAAGTCTCTGATGTAACATCCCAATTTTTAAGCCTAGAAGTACTAGAAATAGCCTAAATGGGATAGGCTACCAGACCCCTTTTAGTAGAGGTCCTAAAGATAAGAAAGGAAGTTAAAGCAGTTTTAGGGACTAAACTGCAAAGTGAAGGTTTTAAGGGGCTAAAGGGTAATCAAAGTTAAAGGCTCCAGTAAAGTCTCAAAGGCCCAGAAAGAGAAAAGAGGCTAGATACAAACCAAAGGTTAAGTTAGAAGCCTCAAAGAGATGGTTTTATGAGGTTGAGCCTAAGCAGGGGTAAAACCGTAAATTCAGAAAGTTACGGCCATCAGGGGTAAAAATGGAAAGTACTTAGAAAATTCTAAGAAAATCCCAAAAAATGGAAAATAATATTCTAAGGCTCTTTTTTGAAGAGAGATGATAAAAATACCCTTGAGGTAACTTAAAAGGAATTTATAAGTTTATGGCTCAATTTGAGATGTAGAGGTAGATTTAATTGTTTGAGTCATAAGGAAACCTCAAAAAATTATGGTAAAATGGGGATGTATGATCTAAGAGACTATAGAAAATTATAAAATCAGTCTCATCCCCAGAAGACCAGCAAAATGGCTTTAAGAATACTTAAAAGCCAGTTGTGCCAAAAAAGGGCATTTTAAGGAATGGTTTTTAAGTGGGGCTACAGGTTGAGTTATGACCTGAGAAAATTCACAGATTTTCTCTAGAATATGAGGAATTTTATGATATTTTTGGATGAATTTTTGGAGCTCTGAATTGAATAAAATGCTCCAGTCAAATATTAAATAATTTGTCTCCTAAATAGGAGACAAAACCAAAGAAAATATCTAAGAGCCATCATGACAATGCTGAGTCAGCATGCTGAGTCACCAAACATAATTATGACACCTACGAGTCATCATACTGAGTCAACAGAAGATATTTATGGACAGCATAAAAATCAGAACGCAGTATGGGAAAATTTTAGACAGTCTTTTGTCTACCCGTTATAGTGAAATCTCTACTGCATGACTCAGTAAGGTTAAGTAGTTTGTCAGTAGAGCTAATTATTTTCATCTATGCTCCTCTGAGATGGCACCATATGTGTACCTTTTATTGGCCAGAATTTTAAGAAGTTGTCCCAACGGTACAGGGTAAGTCAGGACCCGAAAAATATCCGTTACGGTGCAAGATTGGCTTGATAGGTGGAGAAATAATTAAGAAAATTGAGTTTTGAAAGAACTAAACCTTAATGGAAGGTGCTGTTCAAATGTGTTTAAGTTATGAAAAGGATTGATTGCTGATAGAATCATGTTTAAAGGCTAGAAAAAAATAAGAATCACATAGTTTTGTGATGAAATTGGAATAAATCTAACTTCCCCTTAACTTTGTGAATATTTTGGCCAAACCTAGGGATGAAATTAGGTTGAATTTTAATAATTTTGATGCATTTAATGGGTTTAGAATGAAGAATTGTGTGGGTGAAAAAGAAAGTTTGGAAGCATTGGAATTGAAAATAAAATTTTGGAACCCTAAATGTTAATGTCTTAGCCAAGTGGAGTTCATGGGGAAGGAGTTAGATATTGTTTAATTGGAGCTTAAAAATGGATCCTATGTGTAAAAGTATGAGAGAATAGCATGTGGAATTAATTTTAAAAAGGTTGAAATTAAAGCTCAAAAGTCAAGGTTAAAGATTAAGTATAAAGAAAGCTATGTTTGAAATGTTATTTACTTGTATAGCTCTAATAAATGAAGGATAATGATGCGCTAATGCATCTAGGGCCATAAGATATCAAGGAAGAGAAATAGAAAGGTTGGAAGCAAAAGGAGAAGAAGCAAGGATCAAGATATGGAGCAATGTAGCAAGAACATCTAACTTTAATGTTAACTTGCATTCGTTATTTGTTATATGTTCTATGCCATGATGTAGTTAAGCTATTGATGATGATGATGATGATATGTGCTCAAATATTTGCATTTGATGTATTTCTAATAGCATATTTCTTCATGGTATAAATATGTGCTCCCTTTCCATAGCATGATGATTTATTTATGTTATCTAATAACTTTGCATTGTTGGCATTATTGTTATTATTTTTTGCTATCGAGATTCTCACAAATCTCACTCTCTCCCGACCAATCATAATAGGTATTGTGTTTATGGAAGAGGAATGCAGGATGAGGATTAAAAGAAAGAAGAGAAGAATTTGACAAATATATTATGTTATTTTACATAATTCCTTATTTTGATGAATTCAAGAACATGCCTATTGATGTTATTTAATAATGAATGATGATGTTTGCAAGAAAAATTGAGTATGATGATGTATGAGAAGGATTTATAAAATGTTAGAATTGTTGCATGTGTGTAATGAAATGATTATGAATTGTTAATTTCAAATGAGGGGATAAACATTCCAATATAAAGCCATGAATTTGAGAAAGATAACAGTGATGCAAATTAATGATTTTGCCCTTGAAATTTTATGCTATGAAAAGATAAAAGTGATGGAAATTTCCTTGACATTCATCCACTACTTATTTTGCAAGAGGCGATACATGAGGTTTTGTAAGAGTAGTAACACCCACTTTCTCCTTAAACAAGTCAAATGCTTTATCTGGTGTGAAGCAATTTACTTTGATGCTTCTATATGCATCCATTTGACTGCATACCTCTTTTGATCGAGTAGTAAATATTATCTTGCATTCATGATCATTAGGGGAAGGAACTCCCAATTTCAAAAGTTCAATCCTTTCCCACACATTAACTAATAAAAACACAAATTCCTTATTCTTTAAGATATTGTATAACACAACAGGTCTTTCATCCACCGTCTTATTATCCCAAATATGATCTTGGACTTGTAATTTCTTCCTAATGGCATCTTGAATTTTTCCTTCATCTGCATCTTTAGACACCACAACCCAGATGACTGTGTAATGATATGGTATTTTTAAGAGGAATTCATTGCGGAATTTCTTAAGTAGAGTCATTTTGCCTACCCCTCCCATTCCATACAAACCAATGATGCGCTCATGGTTGTTCACAAAGCATGAACATAGCTCCTCAAATGTTGATTCTACTCCCACAGCCTTATCCACAGGAAGTTCATCGAACCTATTACGGGTAAGCTTTTCTGTTACAATATCAAAATGCCCTTTGCTTATATGATTGTTAACATCACTCAACTTCTGGGCAACCATTTTGTGTAGCTTGTAGCTAGCCTGACAATTCCTGGGACAACAACCTCCGAAACGCTTGGCTTGTATTTCTTGACGACCTTGCTTCAAAATGTCTTCGACTTGATTTCGTAGCTCTTCTTCTCTGCGCATCCAACCCCTTACCCGTTGCAAAACGGTTAGCCATGGGTCTTGCTCTGCCGTTTCGACCTTCATCTTGACATCATGATAAATGTCGTAGAGTTGATCTGAAGCACTTTCCAAAGAGTTGACGTTTTCTCCAAGATTGCGTATTGAATCTGCCCATTTGGCGCAATAACCACACAAACGAGTTAGGATGTCAATGACTGGATTAATGAAGTCAGCCATGGCTTGGTTTGGGTGCACCAAAGAAGTGAAGAATGGAGGAGACTGAGAAGGAGAAAGATACAAATGCAATGAATAATGTTTTAGGTTGGCGAAGAGCAATGTTTCACGAGTCTCTCGCTCCTTTACTTTTATTATTTATGCATGATAAGTGTCTTGTCATCCTCTCTCTCTCTCTCTCAAGAAAAAGATTAAAATTGTTCCTCTTCTCTTTTATTAAAGGGAAAAATGAACATTGAAAAGGATGAATTGCGATTTAAGGACTTGCTCGGGCCTCGGCCAGCGCTACATATTTTATTTAATTTTATTTAAATTGATGGGTAGCCTTGTAAAAGAAAGTAATATTTCTATAAAATTACATCTGATTGAGTTAAAACAACATTGTGGAATTTATTTTTATAAAATCTCTCTTAAACACCTTAGACTGGACAAGTATATTTGAAAATAAATTAATTGATGATTTATTTTCTGTTCATTTAATTACTTTTTGTGAAACTTGAGCGAAATACATTATGCTATAAATTGAAAGCTGTTAATTAATATGTACATGCACACACACATATATATGTAAGTATATTCAATATAATTCTCTTAAATTATAATGACACGTACCTTGTCACCTATTGCATAGCTAGAGTGGGGCTTGCGTGGATTTACACAAAAATTGAAAGGACTTGCACTTATAGGATGATTCATTATATTATTTTTATATTTTGCACAGGTAATTCCGCTTGTGAAGATATTATTTAAAATTATTCTCATTGTTTTAAATAAATTTTGGTTAGATTTATTTTGAAGTTTGAAGAATATGATGAAGTTGAACCGCCATTGGTGAGCGTAATTTTAATTACTTAAGCAAACAAAAAAAATGAAAATTAAATTCTTGAAAAAAAAGATACTCCGAATGGGACTATTACTCAAAAACCGAAAAATTACCAATCTCCTATTTAAATAATGCCTTTTTATTATTTAAAGAAATTATTAAGAGAATGTTTATCCACATGTTGTTAGATTCAGCAAATTTCCTTTTTCACATTTTGCTTTTATATTTCCATTCCCCTAAAAACTTGAAAATAATATTACCCTAGCTTGTAATTAGTTTCTAGTGAAATAATACTCCCTACAGTTCTAAATATAAGAATTAATACAATAATTTTCTTTAATTTTAAATGTAAAATTTTAATCTACTTTATTTTCTAGATTATAATTCTTTTTCCATGCTGTCTCGTATTAATTACACATTCTACGATATCTCTTTCCCAACATAATTTTCAATACAAATGATTAATGGGGTCTTTTAGGGAAACTAACTCATTTATTTATAAATAACTAACTTAATTATTTTTTTAATTTCTCTAAATTAGTTATTTAGCTCTTATGTTTTCTCTTTTATGTATACATATATGTGTGTGTGTGTGTATATATATATATATCATGCGTGGTGCAAAGCATATTTCTTCACTAATTAAAGAAGTAATTCTTGCTTTTGCTGAAGAAAGATGTTTCTTTAACATCTTTGCTCATATGCTTTGCTTCATTTGTTGCTATAACCGAGAGTGAATCAAAGCATATCAAGATAAAAGCAACATATTTATATTCCTTACCCTTTTTTGTTTTTGACTGAGCTTTAATTTAATTTATTCCTTACTTTTGTTTCTACTATTTGCCGCTATGCGTACTCAGGTATAGGCATGCAACTGGAATGCAAAATTAGGGCTAATGTAATGCATGATGCCTGTTAGTAACTTTCACTTTGTGAATAATTTTTTAAAAGAAATATTTTTTGAAATTTTTATTAAAAAATTTAATTTTCTTAATTACTTAAGGAAAATTTTGCTTCCCCTCAGGTCGCTGACCCTCTAGATCCATACCTAAATTACAGAAAAGCATTTTTTTAATTATTTCGGTTATTTCTGCTGGTTAATAGAAAATCCGACATCAAAAAGTGATTAATAGCATTCTTATAAATTACAATTAACTTCCTACTTTGGTTTTTTGAAAAATTGAAGCCATTAACCTTCGTCATCTTAAAAAAGAAAAAGTTGAATTATTAATTATTAATTAGTATATATGTACATCTATTGATTAATTCATATTAACTTTCCTATTAAATTAAGTTTATGTGGGGGAAAAATTAATTGGTCGAGGTCGCTAAAGGATATTGCAACATATGAACACGAGTAACTAATCCTTCTAAGTTTGTGTCAAATTTTAATTTTGTTTCTTAAAATTATATAGTGTCACTTAATCTTAATATATAGAAATTAAATTGAAACAATCTTCTAAATAGACAGATAAATTTAACTTTTTCATAGTAACTTTAAGAAATAACTTTTTATAACCAAACCATACTAAACACAAACTCAAATTATATCACAATCATTTACACTAACTAATTGTATAATAATGTTATCCGTGATAGAAAAGATTAGCATCCAGTCATACATCCTATCATGGATAAAAAAAACTTTTCTTAACTCATTCAAATACAAACTATGTAAGAAAAGATCAATAATATGGTTATCAAACAACATATAATATAGCTCATAAATCAAAATATTAAGAATTAAATCTTAATTCATACTTTATAATAAATTCATAAACAAATCACATGTGATCCTAGACTTCTGGCCAACTACTGGCACACATGCCACAATAGTATAATTCAAAGGACATAAAACACAATAATGCATGAATCAATTAAAAACAATTTATCTAAAGGTGGCAATATACAAGAAATAACATAGCTCATAAATTGAGGAGGCACTACAAATCGCTAATGTGGCTTTACTCCTCCTGAGCCTTCCCTGATGTCCATCCTCTAAAACTTTCACTTGAAAAACGTTAAACAATAGGGATGAGACAACATCTTAGTAATTAAATCTCTGCCTATCACACACATTAGCATGAGCTAACGAGATACTATGTCAGCGAAGGATGATCCAGTGCTTCTTCATGAACCAGGGCTAAAGAAATGTTTAATCTAATCCCTTCAGGGGCCCCTCTAACTCTACCGAGGCCAAATAAATGGTAGATATCAAATAAATTTAATAAGAAACATCAAATAATTTATTTAGGCCTGACAATGATTATCATCCCAAATTCCTTCACAATGATCATCCCTAATAGCATAGTCATCATCTACCAAATCTAATTAAGCTGTTTTAGGTTGAGTAGCTGTGAAAGACAGGGTTTTGTCAAGATTGAACTTTGAGTCACTATCATCTCCACAAACTCCTTGCCTCTTACCTTGGACCATCATGATAAACAACTTTTTTTTTTGGGCTAGATTGGTGACATAAAACACTTGTTTTGCATGATTTGCTAAAATCAATTGCTCATCTCTGTATCCAACCCTTTCCAGATCAACCGAAACAAATCCAAATTCTTCATCTACTTGCACAGCATTACTATTAACCCACTTATATTTCAAGATAAGAACTTTAAACTTGGTATAGCTAACCTCTCATATTTCTTCTATTATTCCATAATAGGACATTGAAGCATGTTGGGTTTTCATATTTTGAGCTAGCAAAATGTATAGCTTGGGCTACTACCATTAGCCCACTGTTCTATATAGTACTCTTATCATCTTGGGTTTTTACGTAAAATGAATAACCATTTATGTCATATCTGTCCCAACAAACAACCTCAAAATGAGGCCTTGTAGCTAGCCTTTGTATTGTCTCGGAAGGATAGCCATCCTTTAACACTTCTTGTTTGAACCACTTTGTAAATGACTTGTTATGCTCATTAGCTAGTTATCGTTCTTTTTTGGATTCAAGTTCACTAGCATATTCTTGTGAGCATCCAAGTGAGACAAAACTTCATCTATGTTGTTTAATATAGATGTCCCTATATTACAACTTCACGAGACATAGACCTCACTATGACACCCTGTGTTCCCTTGCTTCTCCCCTATCAAGATATGCGTTACAAAATTCAACTACCTCCTCAGCTACATATCTCTCAACAATTGATACCTTAGGCCAATAAGGATTCTTAGAGTACCTTTTTGAAATTTTCATGTATCTTTCAAATGGGTACATCCACCTTAAATATACGGGGCCACAAAATCTTATCTCTCGCATAAGGTGAGTTATCAAATGGACCATAATGTCAAAAAATGATAGAGGAAAGTGCATTTCCAATTGAGAGAGGATCACACAACCTTTATTTTCTAATTCATCCAACCAAGCAAGATTAATAACTTTGCTACAAATAGCATTCAAAAAACATACAAAGTCTCATAATAGTGCTTCTCACATCGTTTTTCATAATGCCTCAAATAGCAATTAGAAGTAATTGTAGCATTAACATGTGACAATCATGAGACTTTATCCTTGTTATCTTCAAATATTGCATTGAAACAAGGTTTCTCAAATTAGAAGAATAACCTTTTGGCACCTTAATGCTATTCAAAAAATTATAGAAACCTTTTGGCATCTTCAAATTTGCATTGAAACAAGGTTTCTCTTCCTTTGATAATGTGTGCAGAGCTGCATGTAAAAGTTTATAGGGTTTTTAATAAAAGAACTTTTACTGTAGAAGAATCAATTCACATTGTGTTTGCTGAAATTGATTCAATGTCAAAACCTTTGGATGATAATGATGCTGAGATTGTTCAAGGTTTAGAAAAATTGAGTCTAGACAAGTCACCAGACAAAACATCTTGGTAGAAAATGAAAAAAATAAAGATAAATCAAATGAAATGTTTTCTCAGGATGATTTAGAACAACCCAAGCTTAGAGACATAATAAAGACCACCCTTTAAACCAAATCATTGGTCAAGTCAATAAAGGGGTTAAGACCTGAAGACCAGTATTCAATGAAGTACATTTCTCTGTATTTATTTCAAACATTGAACCAACCAATATTGACGAGGTTCTATCCGATGAATTTTCGATAATGGCCATATAGGAAGAGTTGAACCAATTTGAGAGGAATTAAGTTTGGGACTTGGTACCCTGACTTAATGACCATCTAGTCATAGGCACTAAATG